GCATGCCACTTCACTGCACAAACACACTCCCCAGCTCACCAATAAACGGGATGCTACCGTGCAAACCTACCATTGTAGGGTAGCTGGGAACATACAGAAGCCGTGAAGAATACAGGGCAAAAACGGGCCACACAGATAAATCACACTTTGGTCCACAAATGCAACTCCTCTAAGCGTGCAATACACCAGGGTGAACACACGGACACCCTGCAGCTAATACAAGAATACATACCAATGCAGACTGGTATTAGCACATGAAAGCTACTCAGCCACAGGAGCACATCCTTCCAGCACTGATACATTTCTGCTACCTTATGTTGAGCCAGCATACAAAGTGTAGACCAACCCTAGTGCTCTGGCTCTTCCTGTGACAGCACACTGGGGCTTTTCCAGAGAGTTGGCTCAGCCCACCAGACCTGATATTGCACTGCCTGACTCCGAAGCACTGTACAAGGTCTGTCCCTGTGTACTCTTCCAGATGACACAAACATGCACTTCATGGCTGTGAGTGCTGAGAAGATGAGATTTATGAATGTCTAAGGTATGTTAGATAGTAAAAATGCTTCTCCATGGGCACTGTTTCATGACAGATGTACTATAACAGCTACCATTCTCTCTGGCACACTAGGGTAGTAAAAGTTCAGAGTATCTGCTGGGGAGGGTTGAGATGCAGATATTTATCACAATGAAGCTCCATATTAATAGCCCTGAAGAGGCAAATTCGTATTTCACACCATGCTACAACACAGGAGCTGTCAGCAAATGCCTTTACCTCAACTCTGTTCTTCACAACATTTACTGAAATCTCATTAACTGAAATCTACATTTCAGTTGTGCATGTCTGTATAGGCTGATCATCAGCAATAGGGCACTGGGCACCAACAGAATGCTTACAAAATACTAAACAAAACAAAATAATTATCCTGAAAGAGCCAAGCATACTGTGTTCCAAGGAGAATCTTAATGGGATCTTGCAACATTGCCTTGTGGAAAATGAGTCATCTCTGAATACATCATAACTGAAAGCCCTGTGAACCAATAACTCATCTATCCAGAGATAGGTGTCTGTTCAGGTTGTGATGTAATTTTCTTATCCTATCTGTGTAGCACAAGCGACACAGCCATCAGAAAAGGGAAGTGGGGTGTACAAAGCAATGTGGAGATAGGCAAATTGCTCGCTGTGCAACAACAGGGCTCTAATGAATTGTTCAGAGCAGCCTGGTAACTAAGAGCAGCACGTACCAAACCTACTTCTTAAGCCCACATTTATGGTCAAATATTTCAGAATCAAAGTATAACATGCCTCTGCGTACCCAGAATTTATTCCCAAGACCACAAAAAAACCCCTAACAGTTGGCTCTCCTGTCCAACTGAAATCTTTCAAAGAAAACTGTCAGTAGTTTCTAGCACCAGTATTCATCTAACATCTGCTCATTCTTACAGTTGCTGTCATGGCTCAGGGGGAAGCTGGAATGCTCCTGAAACCTTGTGTTATCACTAGTGAAAAGGCTACAACAAATATCAGCGTGGTGTTAAAGATCAAGCAGCAAAAAACCCCGTAGAAACTTGGGCTGCACGGGACAGAAATGGTTCCATAATTTAGTGCTATTACACAGTCTGCCCCACACCTTCTCCTAATAAGCTTAATGGCATCAGGGAAAAGGCAACGTTGCTACAGCTATTGTGCTGGGGATAATGGACAATGGTCCTGTAGAATAACAGCACTACTAGTCTATAGATCGTATGGCAAAAGGGACCATTGTGACCATGCAGCTTTTCTTCCTGTGCAACAAAAAAGCTGCATGACTTTTCTGAATGAATTATTGTTTGACCAATTTTCTGCCTGTTGGGCAGGCACATTAGCGTGCATGAGCAATGTCCAGTGATAGAAGATCCAATAGACTTTTTAGGTAAATTGCTTTAGTGATTAATTTGCCTCACCATTAAAATTTGACAAAGTTTTTCTGGGTTTATATTTGTCCAACTTCAATGACAAACAATTTGCTGCTCTTACACATTGCCTGCCAGAGCCCTTCTGCTCCCCATGCAACTATTACACTTGGAGAGCAAGTCACAGAATCACAGAATCAAAGAATCACAGAATATTAGGGATTGGAAGGGACCTCAAAAGATCATCTAGTCCAGTTCCCCTGCCAAAGCAGGAACCTAAACGAAAGTCACCTGTTTTGTCTTGTGAAGTAAGATTGAGTGAGGTTTGTGGTTCCACAATAACACTGTCCAAACTCGCCAGTGTATCAATTATCCTTCCTGAAAGGGGGATGTCAGAAACACAGGTTTCAGGCTAAACTATGTTTAGCAAAACCAGGACACCGTTCTGTAAGAAATCACGGGTGCTTCCCAGTCAAAACATGTCTCATATACTTGGTGACATTGGGACCAATAGATTGAGTCTGACAACTACTGTGAGTGACAACTGAACCCAGCCTAGTTCTGCACCAGAAACTGCTGCCTCAAATGGGAACATATAAAGATTTCCTGCTTTCTTTAAAGCTTTCAACATGGCCTCTCTCCTGTAGTGAACCAAAATCTATGACTTCACAGCTTTTTTTTTTTTTTTTTTTAATATTCTTATTTTCCTCTGGAGAACACTTCAGCAAGAAGTAATCTGCAGGCAGGATTTCTGTCAGCCTGTGTGAGCTCCTTATTTCTGCAGCAGTATCAGCAGCAACAACGACAGACGAACCATGATCTCGGAGACTGGGCCATTTACAGCTTTGGTACTAATCTGTTCTCCTCTAATGCCTGTGTTCAGTCTCCTGGTTTACAGCGAAGTTGCAGTAGAATGGGGAAAAGAGGAAGATGTCACAAGCACGATGGCATGACAGGGGATCCAGCAAAAGTGCCCTCTATCATAGACAGTGAAATGGAAAGATACATTAAAATGAAGCAGAGTAACCTTACTTATACAGATAAGCAGACATTCATATAGGCAGTAGTCAAAATAAGCCAGAATTACGGTCTAGATATTCCTCAGAGAGAAAACAGCGGAGGTGATTTAATGCTTTTTACCTGCTGTGATAACAGGTCTATCAGCATTCTGCTCTCCAGGTTTGACTGCTCTATCACACAGGCATGCTTGAGTGCACTTGTTCACACATCCACACACCGAGCACATCTACCTTCACCCACTGACAAACTAACTGCCACCCCGTACTATCCACAGATTACAGAGATTCCCCAGGGCCTGGACCAAACATCATTGAATTTCCATTACCACAAATTAATCACTCCAGGCAAACACCTGGAAGTGGCCTTCCTCACACACAGTACAGCCCTTTCACTATCAGAGAGGATGGCAAGCAAACTGGTGGACTACAAACAAGATCCTGGGATTCCCACTGAATTCCTAGTATGGCCACAGCAAGCCAGAAAATGGACCCAAAACAAAAGCCCACAATGCAGTATGTTGTCAGCTTTGAAGAGGACAAACTCCATTCTTCTTTGTAAGGACATGTGGTCACATGCTTTTGTCACTTGCTGCTGACAGAGATTTGAAGTGCTAACATAGGTCAGAGTAAAATAAATTCTTCCAAGGGCATTTCACTACCTTAACACCAAAGAAGTTACATTATTAAGGTTCAGAAGAAAACCAGGAAATTAGACATCTCCAGCCAATGCTGTCATAGCTGCATGTAGGACTATGGGAAGTAACTTTATCCTGAACAGCAGGCTATGCTTTGCTTAAAAACCATTTTTGTTCTGCTCAAAGTACTTCAAATTGCTGAAGTCTACTGCATCTATTTATGAACGTAGCATTATACTGCTTTCTGTGTTTTGAACTGCCATATCTCACAGGCAAGGGCTTTCCTACTTAACAACCTCCATTTCTTCTAGAGGGTAGACCTGGGAGAAGGGCTAAGCAGATTTCACCAGCAGCTGTGCAACCTCCACATCACAACGGGTGGTGTCTGCATCTGGCTGAAGGGGAACACAATATAATTTCAGGCTATAGGAGTGTGATTTTTCTGAGCCGAAGGCTGGTGTGGTTTGAAATCTGGTGACCTGAAGCTCTGTGACATTAGTATTGATGTCTGTAGATGTATGGTGTCTACTCCTGACAACTCTTAACTGTAGAGAGCAATCACTGTGCTTTCAAGCCATTAGTGGAGTCTTGGCTCGCAGGCTTGGATTAGCTGGCAGCTCAGCTTTGTGTTGAATTAGTTTGATACAAACACAGCTATTAGGACCCATGTTTCACAGTTCTCAAAATATACAGTATAGTTGGTTGGACCTCTTCTTAATTGAACATATGCTCCTTTACCAGCAGCTTCCTCCTTCCTTTTCTACTCCACAGCAGGAATTATTTTGGGATTTCCACTTCATTTCCTATTTCAGTCATATGAGCAAAGATGAGAAGGTTGCTCTTGTGCCCATCCCTCACACGCACCTCACCAACACTTTCCAACAAGAGGAGAGCTGTTTCCCTCCCATTCTGCCCGAAACTCTGATTCTTGCAGTTTTCAAGGCAGGATTGCCAGTCAGTCCCGCGGTATTTCAGCCTGTTCCTTGACAAGCTCTTCCCCACCACTGTTGGTGGTACACGCTGCGAAGAGCAGCCACATGAGAACTGAGGCAGCCTGGCATTATAACTGGGAGGACTTCGAAGGGGACTGGTTGTGTGAATAAAGACAACTCACATGAGTAACAGGTTCTACCACTGGGCACTTCCCTTTGTTTTTAGTGTATATCCACATAGAATTAACAGCTTTCTGTAGGGCCATTTTAGAAGTGTAAATTCAGCTCTTGCTTCCAATATGAGGTGGGGGGCTCATAGTTTAAGATCCGCTTGCTGCATGCGTTCATTTACCTGACATCTGAGACCAGTCTTACTGGATGCTAACACACAGTGGAAAACGCAGAAACAAAAGTACACGTTAGATACAGCACGTTCTCATTTAAAGAAGCAAAGGTAAAAATGGGAAAGTATGAGCAAAGTGAAAATAACACATTTATTCAAGGCCATCCACTCTGTGTCTTACCTTCCTATGGGTCCCAGATCTCCCGAGTCCTGGCTGCCTGCATCACTGGGTGTGCTCACTGATTTCGAAGAGGGAGACATAGGGGTTGGGACTAAATAATGAAAATAACAGGTATCCCATGTTAACACATGCAGCGACTGCACTGATGAACAGCAGTGTCAGACAAATCAAAACCAATGGACCAAAATGATAGTGGATGAATGAGTAGGAGAGTTTGAAATGGTGAAAGCAAATAAGGAAGGAAAGAAAAAGAAAAGGAAGAGAGTCAAGTGAATTTTAAGTCTTTCGGAAGTGTTAAAACTGACATGAATTTAGACAGGACTGAAAGCCCAATGGGAATCTACAGCTAATTAATGGAGGAGATATCTATGGAAATAAAACAGCACTTGCTTTCTTGGCTATAGTTTAAATTGACTTGCAAAAGATTTTAAAAGTATGAAGAAATATCAGCGGCTTGCCTTGTCAAAAAACTAAGTGAACTTTTCTGGTAAAGTCAAGTAGGCAATAAAACAAGCATACTTTTAAAATTTTTAATTTAAATCAGAAGCTAGCATCCATCAGATATGGCCTAAGGCTACAGTGTAGATATGGCATCAAAAATAGAAGCTAAATAAGGAAACCCAGCTAAGTTAAAATCATTTCCCAAAGATGGTGAGAATACATATTAGTTTGCTCAGTGACCATGTTTTCTTAAGTAATTTAGATCATATAATTTTTCCATTTTGGGTGGGATATGATTTCAACACTCAAGGAGAATTTTCCCTTGGTTTAGATGCTATTTGTCCAAGTTGTAGAAATGATTTTCGCTTTGGCTTGCCAGTGCTTTTGAAGCATATTTCATGCAAAGGCAGTTTTGTTTCCTGAAACAGGAAAGGAAGTTCATAGCTCAAGGTCAGCCCGAGTTAAAGCTCTTCAGCAAGGAAATAATAAATAAAAAAGGTAAAAATATCTTGATTTCTTTTAAAATGGTTTCTCAAAAATATTTAAAATGCAGAGATGGCTCCAGTCAAGATTTAATGCAAGTATTCTTCAAAGCAGCCACGTTGAAAAAAAAACACAAAAAGGGGTTTTAACGCAATATCAAAGTTTCCCATTTGGTTTAAATCATGTGCATTTCCTTTTATAGATTTAGCAGAGTAAAACTTTAAACTATTTTGTTATGCTCTATAATGTATAATGACAGACTTGTCAAGAGATTTGGATTTTCCATGTGGTCAAACATTTCATGCAGATTCTCACTAGAGACTGTCACAGAAATGACTGCAGCATGAAAAGTAAATTCATTTTCATGACAGCCCTTTGGCAGGTTACAGGTATGTCATGGCTGTTTATGTGTTCCAGATTCACAGTGGGATCTGGGTATCATATACGTATGTGAAGGTACAATTAAAGTCTCTTTTGTGAGTGTATATAATGTGAGTGTAAAGCCTCCTAATTGTGAGTGCATATAATGGGAATGAAAGAGGACAAAATACTACTGTTTAACTAAAACAAATCATCTTGCATGTGAATTTTCATATTCTTTTGATAGTATCAAACAAAAAATAATTAACTAAGATAAGAATTTATAATTTCCAACATGAATATATGCATTTAGTTATTAATATGATAAGGAAATATTTCCTTATTTGTAGATAAAAATTAGTATTTTAAATGCTAGAGCATTAAAAATGTATCTGATTTTATAATATAATGATATAATTTACAAAACATATTTTATGATACATAAAAATAACCTAACCATTACCTGTCAGACAATTCTCCTGAGAATTGCTATTTAAAAGTTTCATTCACTATATCATAACTTATAAAATAGTAACTTTTCTTAATAAATGTTTTTTAATGCAAGTTATGAATTGAAATCTCAATTCAGAATGTCACAATCTACTTGCATAAGCCCCCAAGCAACTGTTAAGGGGCTTTCCTAAATCAGAGCTTCAGCATTTTGTCAACTTTGGAGTTTTTCCTAAATATTACAGGCAAAAATATCTAGGGATAAAATTACAGATCCAGCCCAAACGAATTTAATGACAAGGCTTGGTATCTCCAGAGGGGCCAATATTTCAGCTAAAATAGTGACAGTTATTCTGGATTCAAGGGAGAATAAAGTACAGGAAGGAAGGAAGGAAGGAAATTTCTCAGTTTAGAGACACCCAATAAGTGAGACAGAACTTAATTAAGGTAACCAGTATTCAGATATTATAAACGTTGCCACATGTATTTTTAAACCGAGGACTTCAGATTCTAGAACTGAAACCAAAAAAGAGGTTGAGTGCATGAAACCAGATCTAAAATCTACAATAATGATCTGATTATAAGCCTTTTGCTAGTTGTGATTTGTCTTTTTATTTCCCCTTTCCAGTTTTGCTTGATTTTAAAAGAAAATCAACGGGAGTTTCCACATGACTATGTTCCTCTTTCCTTAGCAAACATTTAATCTGAATTTTTGAAACAAAACTTGAGGCTAATGAAGTACAGCATTTATAATATTATTTTGTGGGTCATCAGATAGATGTGAGAGAAGATAAAACAGTCCATCAGAAAAGAAATCACTGCTTGTAAGCAAAACCAACCTGCATTACATTCATAAAAAAATACTGAAGAAATGAAACTGGTGTTTTTGGCAATGACAAGTACTCAGAATGTCATGAGCTGGTATATGTGAATGGTATGGCAGGCACTCAAACAGAAGAGTTCACTTCACTAATACAGCCAAAAATCAAAAAAGCCAGGCATGCTTTAATAGAAAGACTGCATTCATTGTGGCAGAGCTGAATGCTTTACAGTGTGCTTCTCTTAAATACCTAGAGGTGGTTCTGGGGATATACCGATGCTCTGTAACAAAGCTTCTGTCTCTCTTCTTTTACGGTCTAGGTCAGAATCCTCCTGAGCTGGCTCCTTCTTTTGCTGTAGATCAGCCTGAGTTAAAACAAAACAAAACAGGAAAGTTTAATCCACATATAATCAGCTCTAGCAATTAAGTGTGTAGAAAATATTTATATGCATCACTGCTTAGGTACACTTTGAAATTCACTTAGATGTGTTTAGATATTTTATAACTTCAAATAATTTATACTCTATATATCAATAACAATATATTTTCTTGAATGCATGGAAAAATTGATATTTGCAAGTATATTTGCAAGGATTTTTACAGTACACTGATGGATATCTTCTGCCTCTCACTCATCAGATACAACTTATTCAGCTGACATAAAAGCTGACCATAGAGTAACAGATACCATTACTTCAGTGATGTAGCTTAAGGCCTTACATTTGGTCCCAAGCACTTGTTGGCAATAAAAATACTTTCTCATAAGTGTCAACATGTAACAGGAGCAAAGGAAAGGCCTAACGTGTCTAAAATAGGATTCTGGCAGCCCTGGGCACTAACAGCAAAAACTAATGGTCCACAAGATCCCTCCCTCTTTGCTTAGATAACCGTATCTACTTGGAGCTTGCACACACTAGCCTCCTCCTGCTCTGGTCTACTGGGGCCTAGAAACAGAAGGAGCAACATCTGCATTAGCCAGAATCTCTTACATTTGGCTCATCATTCCTCAATGTAGTAAGGCAGAAGGAAAACGCTGATACCCCAGCCTAGTGGCCAGAGCACTCCCTTGAAAGACAGTCTTCTTCTCCCAGGCCGATGAGGGAACTGAACCCATGTCCCGCTTTGTAGTCTATTGCAGTAACCAGTAATGCAAGTAAAACAAAATGCAAGTGGTCGTGCCTATCATTTTATCATGTCTTAAATACAGCAATCCCAGCATAGTTCTTACAGAAAATGTCTGGTAGCATCTCCCTCTATACTTCGGATCCTAAGTTTGCTTCTAAATCGACAGATCCTATCTAATCTCCACACAGATTGCTGAAACCAGAGTGTGTGGCACAGGGGACTCGCACAGCGCCTCAGCCTGGTGTTGGTGTTGATGCAGGCACAACAGAAAACTATGAAGTTCAGGAGCATTGCCATGTTCTTCAGTTTGGATATGGCCAGGATGCAGAAGATCATTGCTTCTACAGACCACAACAAAGTTCAGGCATATTCCTGTGCTCAGCTCTTCCCCTGAGCTAGCCTGAAGTATCTCACAGTATGCAGGGTTGTAGACAACTCTTCTGCACCAGTGTACCTAAGAGAATGTTAGACTTCACTCCTGGAGGGCACCAGGCATAACAGTGCACCCCATTACAGTGCCACGGTTAGGCACCATGGCCTAATCTATACATCTGGGTGTCCCAAGTTGGATCCGGCTATCAGGGCCAATGGAAATTTCCAACCACCACAATATTTGCACGAGGCATAAAATCAGAGGCAGGGGACAAAGGAAAGGAATTAATAGCTTCCTCAAGCCATTAGCTTGGCTCCCTTCGCCCTAATTCATTAACAGGCTAGTAATGAACACTGAAAACATTAACATTTAAAGTTCTGCTTACAGAGGACTCCCCTAGTGACTCCAGGAACCTCACTGGGGGGTGTACTGGTAATTGCACAAAAATGGCTCAAATGAAAAAAGATTAAAAAGACAGTCAAAACTGGAATGCTGATTTCTTGGATCACATCACATTTCCACAGTAATTCCACGAAATTCATGTACAATATTAAAGTGTCAGTTTAAAAGGAAACCAGTTATTAGTAAAGGATAACAGGTGCTTTAAACTACAGTAAGTGTTGACATGTGAAGGAAAGGAAACATAATCACTTAATGCTTCTCTGACTTTGCATGAAAATGAATATCCACTCCCTGTCAATTCTCACCTCTATTCCACTAAGTGACTGAATAAAAAGAAGTACAAATCCCTTAATGAAAAACCTAATGCATATTGTCAAGGACAAATAAACTAATATGTCAATCAAACTTTAACAGAACTGAAAGACGCACCCATGCCAGAAGATGAAAATGCAATTGCAATTACGTTTTACTTTACTGGAGAATAATAATTGTAAATCTGTTACCTTAGCCAGTAATCAAGCTAGTCTTCAGAGTATAAAAATACTCATTTAGATTGTAATGGCTTTGAAAAAATGTAAGCCCTCTTTCTGTCCTTCCCCACTCTCCACACCCTTTGCATTGAAGGAGCGCCCAGGAAAAAGCATTGTGGTAAATCAATTTTTCTTTCTATACACACATACATATCATATTGTCTAAATCGTTGTCATCTGACAGTGCATCGGTTTTAAAAGCACTTCCCTCACTCCAACTTTCTTGACTAAAAATAAGCATTTCGATTTTAAGGTTAGACTGAAGTGGGTTTGAGGAACTCATTCCACATGACAGATACCTTGGGGTATATCATAGTGAGATGTCAAAACCTAAGCGAGCCTCTTCTGAAAGCATGAGCTATCTAAAAGGTGCTTTTGCATATTTACCTCTTTCTTCTTCCTTTCTTCCTCCTTCCGTTTCTTTTCTTCTCTTATCTGAGCCAAACGCTGCTTTTTGCGCTCAAGTTCTGCTTTTAAATCGCTTTTGTCTGACATTTTGACTCTGCTGGAAACAAAATTATGGAAACCAAGGTGAGAACAGAATTAAATGTTTTCCCTCTTTACTGAAAAAAAAAGAGATACTTAATTATACCAAAAATAGTGCTTCTAAAATTGCTACAAAAATATATCTGTATAAATACTGGCCCTTGGACTACACCAACAATGCAGAAAGCAGGATATTTGTTTCACAATTTTTATTTCCGCAGCTCTGCCAGACTATAGGACCCAGACCCTCAAATGGCTTTCAAGTACAAGAACTAGATCTGCCCCAAACAGACCCACATATCTTAGACAAGTAACAATTCTACTTGCAAAAACTGGAAACATGATAACATTTGCTTCTGCACATACCTTGAAAACTGCCATCCCAGGATCCCCTCCCATTCCACTGGTACAACCTCACATAGACCACCAGCTCCATCGCAGTACCCTTCACATATTCACCCCTCCAGAGAGCACCCTCACCAAGCTACGGGCTTTCCTGCACAGGAATATCCTCCATCCTTTCCAGGGAAAGATGGGCTATTCACCCAAAAAGCCTGCAAACAAGACACAAAACCAGGCAACCCAGCAAACCTGAGCTTCTCTTTAAAGAAGCAGCACATTGCTCTGATGACAGTTTTGCACTCAGATCATCTTTCAAAGAGGCAGGAATATTCCTGAGGTTAATATTCCTGATTTCACTCCAATCAAGCAAACTTGGCAAAAGTATTCCTTCTTAGTTACTAAAAGACTCCCGTGCCACTTAGTCTGAAACATAATTCTCTGTAGGACAGTGATATGAAGCCACATATGCTCTTTGTGTTTCAAACCTCTCTCAACCTATGCTATTGTTACCCCAGCCTTGAAAATGAAGAGTAAAGAGATATAAAGTCACATCACATAGAAACAGAGCCATATCTCTAAAGAACTTAGGATACCAATCTTTTTCTACAGTTTTAAAACCCCACCAGTGTTGCACAAATCCGTAACTTCAATCACAGATTATTCATTTTCTAACAGCAACATCATTATGGGCTGTTATCTAACTACAGAAATACTGATTTTCTTATTAGCATTTACTTCAAAAACAGTCCTGACTAATATAGACATTCCTTAAAAGAGTTAACTGTGCCTTTCCTATTAATTCACACATCACTGACCACATCCACCACTGCCACCCAGAATCAATCAGATCAATAGCAGTGCCATGTATACGCAAAGGAAGCCTATTACTTGCTTGATGCATGGGCAATTCAAACGGCAAATCTCCATTAACAGTAATGAGAACTCCACCCATTTTACTGCCTGGGTGGATAGATGTCTGGAGAGTAAATCTATATGCTAAAAATTATATGGCACTTTCACCCACCATAAAGTACTCTGCAGTTGTCAGCTTCCTCCTCAAAATGATAAAAGCACAGTTAGCCCATGATATGGAGGGTATTGCCAACAAACGTCACCTGCACGTTAAAAGCAACCTTGTCCCCAAGTGTCTTTGCAAGCATCTTCCTTCAATGAAAGAAAATAATAAAATGCAGAATCATAAGAGGAAACCATTCAATGCAAATGGCAGGCTTAAGAGGAGCATAAGGGATGCCAGAGAGGCCGGCACACCTGTATCTGGGTGTGCACCACACTACAGAGCTAACATTTCCCAGTCAAACTCCCAGCCGAAGCCCACCAGCAGAAGTTATGCCTGTCCACCTCACACCATCGCAGATTCTGCATACCTGGTAAGGTACCCTTCCACCCTTTCAGGGCCAGGGACTCCCAGTTCAATCCACAACAACTCACAGTAAATGGTATAGCTAGGAAGGACATTAGACTAACAAACTGGACCACTGGGTGCACTGCCTGCATGCAGAGGACATGCTTTTCTTTATTCCTCCATCACACTGGTCCTATTCATGGTGATAACATTTTCTATTTGAGAAAGAGAAATCAAAACCGTCAGAAAAATTGCATGTGATATCAAGAAAACTAAGCAGTGGCACCTTAAACAACATTAATCTGTGTGATGAGTTGACGTCAGCAAGCTATTTTTTATATGAGAAATGCCTGGAGAAGAAAACAAGCTTTTTAATGGAAGCAAAGGTTGTATTTTGCCTACTAATTTGCTCAGGATTTGTGAGTCTCTCTCAGATATGGCTGAAATCCCATTTGAAGTCATTTTCCTAATCTGTTGCACACATTTGAATTCTGATTATGAAGCTTCCCCTCAGAGCCCTTTGGACTAGATAGGGTTTGTGCATCCTTTTAGTTCTGCAGTTTGGCAACAGAGAGTGAGCTCCTGTTTCTATGCAAAACATATGCAAATACATTTTAAGGCTCATGACAGAAACCCTGAAGGTTTGGCATCCCTTTCAAGCTGTTTGTCAGATATCAATGAACAGCTTTATAAAAATTCAGTCCCTTAATATCAAGGAAGCTAACTAGCTTTTTCCCTGATTTGAGCATCCATGGTTTAGTGCCTGGCCCCTTCTTTACAATGCTCCAGTCAGGGCGATCAAATCCTATTATAACTTTGCCCTATTTTTAAAAAACAGATCTTAAATACAACAAAGACGATGTATTAAATTTCCTTCAAGGAATGTTGCCAGACCTGAGATATAGAAAGAAATTAATCTCGAGTTACTTTCATCCTGCACATAATAAAATCATGCCTTAGCCCCCCAAACAGTTTACCAACCTTCAAACTGGTTAGTGACAATTTTAGCACAAACACCAAGGGTATGTAACCACATACCCTTTCTCAGATAGTCAGCAAGTCAGCAGTGAGCAATGAGGCAAGCGTGCACATCACTCTCCCTGGCATTAACCATGGAGTTAACATTCCCTCTTCACTACTGAGAACAAATCTCTAATAATTGCCATTCTGAGTACCAAAAGGCATGCCACGCCAAGAGAGATAAAGGCAAACAGTAAAAATGATTTACTTTTAACGTTCTCTGTGGTGCAGAATGACAGCCCAAGGCTTATGTATGACCTAATCTTCTCCAGCCTGGGAGAAGGCATTGGTCAGAGGGAAACAGTAAGGAGCACAGCTTGTATTTAAATCACCTATCTGGGAGAAGGAATTCGTAGGAACAAACACACTGAACACTGCATCAAATGTAGAAATAGTTCTCACTGCAGGGCAGCAGCCTAGGCCTCTCCTCTTCAAGGGAGATGCATAATCTTAGATCAGTTTTTATTCTGTTTGGCCCAGTTTACTGTCAAGTGACACAGTTCTAAAAGAAAAAAGAGTCCTCCCACTCCAGAAGACCTTAGTTATTGCGATGTAGCAGGATACGTGGATGTGAACCACCTTGCACAGACAGCACTCACTCACACCCCTAATACTCTGAGGAAATTTTCCTTTCTTGGAGCTACTGGAGAAAGGAGCCTGCTCCTCTTGACATGACTTATAATGAAACAGACTGCTGTATTTCAAGATGTCAGTCTTCCCCAGACGCATTAAATATGCCCCAGAGTCCTCTTTTAGGCTTGGAAATACAGCCAATTCCACTTAAACATCAAAGGGTCACCAGACCCACCAGAATGACAGTCACACAGGCACCTACAAATTCAGTGCTGAGGCTTCTGAGGACTGCTTCCTGGGACTTCACCATCTACTGGGCTTACCTCACTAAATCTGGATGCTCACAGTGAAGATGGAGAGCTATCCTTAGAATCATAGAATCGTTTGGTTGGAAAAGACCTTTGAGATCATTGAGTCCAACCGTACTTGTCCACTACCAAACCGTATCTCTGATTACCTCATCTACCCCTTTTAAATACCTCCAGGGATGGTGACTCAACCACTTCCCCAGGCAGCCCGTTCAAGCACCTGATAACCCTTTCAGTGAAAAAAATTTTTCCTGATATCCAGTCTGAACCTCCCTTGGCACAACTTGAGGCCATTTCCTCTTGTTCTGTCACTAGTTACACCTGCCTCGCTACAACCTCCTTTCAAATAGTGGTAGACAGTGATAAGGTCTCCCCTCAGCCTCCTTTTCTCCTGGCTAAACAACCCCAGTTCCCTCAGCTGCTCCTCATTAGGCTTGTTCTCCAGCCCCTTCACCAGCTTCGCTGCCCCATCAATGCAGGTAAAATCAAGAGTATGGGTACCCTAGGATGTGATTCCACTTTTCCTAAAGCAGACGTCTAAAAGTAGTTAGGTGTGTCCCAAAGCCACCAGTTCCTCTCCAGTGGTGATAAAGGGTCCCAGGTGATAAGTTAAGTTCTAGAAATCTCCATTGTAAATGTCTCAGACTGTGTGAGAAGAATCCTGTCCTTAATATGCTCCTGGCAGTTCCTTTCAGCTTGTCAGTATATGAAACAAGATCTTTGAAAGACCATTTACATTAATCTTAAAATAATAATGGAGTTTGCACAAACTTCTCTGCCACACAGAACATATGCAGAACTACCCCACTAAGCTTATCACACAAGTAGTGACATCTCACAGCCATTTAATTTGTGGCAGTGGTAAGCACATAAGCGTGGAAGATGCAAACAACAACGTTTTACCCTTGACTGGACTAAAAGCCATGCAAGAACTTTTATAGGTATAAGCCAACAAACTTATTACAGTTTTATAACAAGCTACAAGGTCTTTATGATTCTTCTCCAAGGTCTTCTATGATTCTATGATTTTTATCAATGATCAGTATCACAATATTTGAGCAGATTTCTTTTAGCTATTTATATGAGCACTTAACAGCAGAAATAGTCACGGGCATCTAAAAAGGTTTACTACAATTGCAGAATCAATAAATTGATAGTTGCTAGAGTAATAAAACCACATTACAGAGGTACAAAGAGAGGTACAAAGAGTTACAGAAGTACAAAGAGTGGCAACACATGTACATAGCTTGGATTAAATACGAGAAAAAATAAGCGTGAAGTGCCCAGTGTATAATGAATAAAATAAAAACAAAGACAAAGAAAAGGATGACAGTGCACACTTTCTATAAGCAGAAAAAGAAAATAAGATAGAACATCGCCTTCCTCCTAAACCCTGTTCCTTA